ACTTTCGATTTTCTAAAAAGGCAGAAGAAATTCCATTTGTTTCGAAAATTTCCATGGAGAAATATGATTAACAGATTGGCCACTTGTTTTGTTTTATTCCGGCGTCTATGAATCGAATTTAGGAAACAATTTCTTAATTTCGTCCATTCTGATTTACACTGTTCAGTTATAATACACAATAGGATTAGCTAATAAATAGGGTAACGATACCAGTAAAATTTACAGTGCTAGTGAATGAACAGTCTCAGTTATTTGTTTAAATTATAAGAAAATCAGCAAAGATATACTGAATTTATAAATATTAAAATTAAAATAAATTTCGTTAAAATCTTTATTTTTTTAAAGTCATCAACATTTTATAAATCCATGTAAACTACTCAAATTTTATATTTTTTTTAATTTTAGAATTCTTAAGTTTTCAATAGCTTATAATTTTTGGGTATTTATGTAATTATTTTATCGTTAATACAGTGTCCAGGGACTGGAATCTATCATTATACACATAAACCAGTTAATTAACTGGTTTTCATTCATTAAGTTTGTAATTTTTTATTTGATCTAATGAATGAACATTATATTCACTTATATTATTTTTGAACAAAATGTTATTTATAATTGTTTTATTTAATAATTAAACAATTAACCATCTCAATTTTAAAAATAATATCAATTGAAACTTTTACCCAATTTAAATACTTAATTCTTAATAATTTTAATATATGTATTGTTATAATCATATCAATATATCTGTCATTAATATGTATAATATAATATTGTTACATATACAATTTGAGAAAAAATAAAATATTTTGTAAACTAAACTGTTATACCTAACTAAACCTAACTCATTGATGACAATTTAAGTTTTATTAATTATATTTTAAAATATTTACAGGTTTTTGGCCACTGGAGAATCATATAGATCATATATATATATATATATATATATATATATCAAATAAACATTGATTAATGTAATTTTAAATGTGTTTAAAGTTTTAACTATAGACATTTTTCAATCAGTGCCTTGGGTCTACGGATAGCTTAATCCGACCCTGATCTGAATACTATACTAGGCTTATCAAATCTAGTTTGTTGCTCATATATATATAATTAAAATAATATATTAGATCTCAAACGAATTAATGATTTTATTTATAATGTTTTTCAGCCTTAATTCGATCAATAAAAACTGAAAAACGTTCAAACATTTCATGCGAAATCAAAGAAAATTAAATGTATCAATATTTCTCAACAGAGAACACAGAAAACTTCTACAATAATGATGGTAGGTTTATTTAAATATAACACAAGGACTGTAAATTTATTATACTAAAACTAAAAAAAAAATTAAAAAATATAAAAAAAAAAGAACAAATTTTAATGAAAGCAAATTATAATAACAATATATGGCAAAAACGTAGTAAAATAAAACTTTTTTGGTGTTTTAGTCTAGAATTAATCTTTTAATAATTATTTTTACAAAAAAATGGTATTGTTCTATTTGATTTATCATAAAAACAAATATATTTATCAAAAATATCAACATTTGCTTCTTAATATTTAATAGGAAAAAATTTATAAAATGTGTGTAGATATAAATTATTAAAAACACCGTAAAAATGAGATAAAAAATAAATAAATGTTTAAAATGTAAAATAATGATTTTTTTAAAATCAAACTCTTGGTACTTAATTTGACCTTTGTGCTAAGACGAACTAAGCAAAAAGTAAAGCGTTCTCCTACCCAAATTCACAGTCTATTGATAATAACCTGTATTATACTATTATTTATTTTAACCATTAAATGTGTTATATTATAGAACTATCCATATCGATTACATCAACCAGCAAGCGAACAAATCATATTGAAAATTCATTTAATGCGATGAAAACTAAAGAGGCTCGTATGGAACTAGTTAAAACAACGGGATTTGTTGAAACCAAATCATCACACGCTCGTAAAATAGTTTGGTATTACAAAAAGAATATCGACAACTGTTTTAACTATCATACATTTCTCGAAGAATCTTCAAAGGATAAATTAATAAATTTACTTAAATCGCTATCAATTAATTATCCAATTAAATATAATCTGAAACTGGAAGCTACTTACAAAAGACCACATGTAGATAACTCATCAGAGAACAGAGCATTCGAAACTATATCAAAAGAGATTTTCACGAATAAAGATATAAAAAATGTGATTGAAAAAGATTTTACAAGACTTCTTCAAGAAGAAGACGAATATATTGGTAATGGAAGTGGTTTCGCACTCAAATGTATCGATGAACTACTTCTAGGTGTATTCAAATATACACCTATAGGTAGATAGTCATATATAAAATTACCTGACGATATCAGAAACAAAAAATCAGTAATTAATCCACAAAATACAGACCAACAATGTTTTAAATGGGCAATACTGACAAAACATATCGATGAATATCGTAATCAAACCATGTTTATAGATGAAGAACATCTTTACGATTTTTCAAGTCTTAAATTTCCAACACCTATTGCAGATATAAAATTATTTGAGCGGAATAACTTGAATGTTTGAATAAACGTGTATGGTTTGAAACAAAATAAAAAACATCACATTATTTACCCATTAAAAGTTGTGGATGAAGAAAAAAAAATCTTTTCGATCTCTTACTGATTACCGATGGAGATAAAAGTCACTATACATACATTTCAAATTTCTCACGCCTTGTTAGAGCAAAAAAAAATTCATAAATAAAAAGTTCTTTTCTGCAAGAGATGCTTCACATCATTCGATAATCAACCCCTTAAAAATACACTATATGGACAAGCAGCACTAGATCAACACAATCTGATATGCGGAGTACACAAACCAATTTTACCTCAGATACCTGAGCCCGGTACAATGCTAGAATTTGATGGGTGGAGTAAAACTCAACTGCATCCGATAGTCATTTACGCAGACTGAAGCACTTCTGGTAAAATGTACGCAAAACAAATGCAAGAATACGTCAGCTATTCAAAAGCACTAATCAATGAGCTATGGACTGATTTAGCGTCAAATGTTCGCAGTAATTAGGTTGCAGTAAAAATGCAGCAACAAAAACGTCGCGATAACAATGTCGTCAAGACAAAAATGTCGCAGGTAGTAATATATCGCCGTAGTCGCCACGCGTCGATGTGATTCGCAGTTCTACCGGTTTTCGTTCGGTCGTTAGTAGGATTAGATTATATTAAAGTATCATTTCTACGAAAATAAAGTTCAGTCTACATATTAGTGTGCAATCAGCTACAGTCAAAGTAACTCTAGATATAATCTATACACCATTGAATTCGAGTATTTAACAAACCAAAAAAAATGGAAAATTACTCAAGTTCAATTCTTTTTATATAAAAAAGAAAGGAAAAATGAAAACAAAATTATTTGGAAGTGTGTAGAGTATAATACAAAATATGTGATGGTCGATTACATTCATCTAGAGAAAATATACTGAGAATAACTGATCATAACCATGTAGCCGATATTGCAAAAGTTGAAGCTAAAGAAGCAATGGCAAGGCTTAAAAATATTGCAAAAACTACTCAACTTAGTACCCACTCTGTATTAGGAACACTTAAATTACAGGTATATAGTTAATAAACATAATATAAAATTCAAATAATTATTTTTAGTTCATTGTTTTAGACCACTTTTAACATAGCAGGACAATTTTCAAGTACAACAGGATTAAAACGAACAATTCAACGAATTAGAAATATGGAAAGATCAGCTTCTACGAATCCAAAATCAGTAACCGAATTAAAAGTACCAGTTAATTACACAAAAACTACAACTGGTGAGCTTTTTTTAAAATATTATAGCATTGATTACGAAAATAACGTAGACAAGTTTTTTATTTTTACTACCGACAACAATTTACAATTGATGGAACAATGTGAACATTAGTTATGCGATGGTACATTTTCTTGCGTACCTGGTATTTTCCACCAACTTTGTACCATTCATGGAATAAATTATTCAAGTGTTATACCAGTTATTTATATATTTCTTCCTAATAAAAAAGAAGATACACATAAACGTATATTTTTAGCATTAAAATTATTAAAACCACAGCTTAATCCAAAATCGATGATGTTTGATTATGAAAAAGCTGCTACATGAATGCTTCAAAATATATATTTCCGTCAATTAACATTAAAGGGTGTTTTTTCCATTTCACCCAATTCATTTGGAGGCATATACAATCAAATGGGCTACAAATTAGGTATACAAACGATTCAAATTTTGCACTTGAATTAAGAAAATTAGCAGCCTTAACTTATATACCCGAAAATAATGTAATTTCGGAATTTGAGTTTCTATTGGATTCCGAGTTTTATAGAGAAAATGAAAAAACTCTATCAGATTTAATAAACTATTTTGAAGACACATAGATTACAAGACCCTGTCGGAGAGCAAGAAGAGCACCTTTATTTTTTATAAATGTTTGGAATTGCTATTCGTTATTGAAGTTTGATATTCTGCGAACTAACAATTCAGTCGAGGGTTGGCATAATTGTTTTAGTTCAATGTTAAGTTTTCGTCATCCTTCCATCTGGATTTTTATCGATTCATTGAAAAAAGAAAAAAGCTTAAACCGTCTAAAAGTTGAACAGTACATTGCTGGCATAAAACCTCAAACAAAGAAAAAATACAAAGATTCTGCGATTAGACTTAAAACTTAATATATGAGGATTATGAAAATCGATCAATTAACGACTACTTGCGTGGAATTTCGTATAACTTTCAATATTAAATATAAAAATAAAATGTATTATTTTATTTATTACAATATGTTATGTTTGTATATATTATGTTGGTACTTATATTATTTATTATTGTATTTTTCATATTTTTGACATCGCGATATTTTGAAATTCGCGACATTTGTACCGCGACATTTTTTACTGCGACATAATTACCGCGACATTATGACGTGGATTTTTATGGACTATTCGTAAAAAATACAGAAAATGTTCCTTTAGATCTGCTAGAAATGTTCAATATACCAGAAAAACCAGTTATTTTCCGTGGTAATGAATCACGTCAAGACGTAGCCAAAAGATTCATGAAAGAAGTTACCGAGATTGTGAGAAAAGTTGAAGATTTGCTTAAAACAAATAAACCTATAATAATAACTGAAGAAGAACAAAAGACACATGTAATGAAAATTACTTGCGATTTATGTAAAAATAAATTTTCCGACAAAAACCATAAAGTGGCAAATCACTGCCATTTATCAGGGAAATTCGGGCATACACTATGTAACACCTGTAATTTAAAGTTGGAAAAACCAAATTTCGTCTCGTGTATTCTACACAACTTAACAAATTACGATGCACACTTTATAGTGACAGAGTTAGGATGCGATACTAACCAAACCACAGTCATTCCAAACAGTGAAGAAAAGTTTATTTCATTTTCCAAACACGTTTCCAACAACTTCACAATACGGTTTATAGACTCTTGCCGTTTCATGCCTTCAAAACTATCAAAACTTGCAGAAAATTTAATTATTTAATTACCTCCAATCTTGAAAAATTTAGAGAGACTGCCAAACATTTCATTGCCGAAGACATGTCGTTAGTAACTCGTAAGGTGTATACCCTTACGAGTTTACAAATGACTGGGCCAAGCTTAATCAAATAAGCTTACCATCAAAAAAAAATTTTTATAGCACATTAACAGAAGAACATATAGATGATGAGGAATACGAACACACGCAGTCGCAGTATGGAAACATTTCAAATGCAAAACTTTAGGGGATTATAATGATTTGTATTTAAAAATTGACGTGCTGTTGTTGGCTGACGTTTTCGAAAATTTTAGAGACATGTGCATTTCTACAAACAATTTAGATCCAGCCTTTTACTACACAGCACCAGGTTTCAGCTTTGACTGTATGTTAAAATATACCAAAGTCAAACTAGAATTGCTCTCTGATTATGAAATCCATCTATTTTTCGAAAATTCAATCCACGGTGGTCTCACACAAGCCAGTTTGAGGTATGCCAAAGCTAATAATGAAAATACTTCCGATTATGACGAGACGAAACCGAAATCATGGTTAGTCTATCAAGATTGTAATAATTTATATGGATGGGCAATGTCACAATACATGCCATTCGGCGGGTTAAAATGGATAGAGCCTACGCTAGTTGTTATGGAAACATTGACAAATACCTCAGATATAGGTAGAGTGTGTGAAGTGGATATATCGTATCACTAATTCTAAAATGTAATATAAATATACTTATACACTTTTATGAGCATATTGTGTTTATTTTTTTTTTACAAGGCATTCATTTCTAATTCAGTTTCATCCCTAATAAATGGCCTCTTGAAATGGCTTGACCCACAGTTCCCCGACTCTGGATCCACCCCTGCATACAACATTACATAGGTACATCCATGACCATTGTTGATTTAGGTCGTTCACGTTGGTTTTACGTTTACTTGACTCGAAAGGTTAAATTTTTCTTTTTATGACTATATTATTTCGATATTATTCATTTTTCAGCCCTGTAATAACTAATTACCTAATTTTAATAGAAAAAAATGTATGCATAAACCAATCATAGTTCAATCGTATGGTATAAAAACAATTTTTCCATAATTATTTTTAGGATAACTTGTAGAGCACACAAGTTTGTTATCTGCATACAATATTGATCATAAAGCTGTATAATATTATGTACCTATATATTATGTATGTATGGTATATATTGTATCATACGTATAATATATGTATATATATTGCAATGTATATTTTTGTATTTGGTTGAAACGGATTTAAATTTTAAGTTTAAAACTTCAAATGGTTTGCTTTTAAAAATATGTACAGTTACGTAAATAGGTGCTTATTTTTTTTTGGGGGGGATTAACCTTATTCAAAATTATTGGAGCTTAAATTATGTGCAATAAAGTAGTATATATACCATTTATATGCCATTATATAATACTATGTATCTTAATTTGTGATTACTACGATACGGTCTTTGGAGGAGGAGGCGATCTCTCCTATCCAAACCCGGATTAAGACCTTCAGGGGCTCAAGCAGTGGCATAATTAGAACTTCGATTGCCCGTGGCAATATAATCCAGCGGGTCCTTGTTATTACAAAGATCCACCCCTGCTAATAAACAATAAATAATTAAAAACATTTAATATACAATTATGAATATGGTCACTTTTTACTTTTTTTTTTTTATTTTCATTTATAATAAGACATTCCTAGTCTATAAGACTATCTACTTCTATGAATAATTAGTAACGTTAATTTTTTGCTATATTAACACGATAATAATTATAAATAGTAATATTAATAATAATAATAACAATAGTAAGATATTAAGACAAGCGATAATAATAAGTGAGGTTGGTTAGTCGTAGACAATAATAATAATATAATAATATAATTACATTAGATTATAATAATTTACTTAGTAGTAATTAACGAATAATATCATGCGGACGACCGCGTTTTAGACGTCTTTGAGGTGGTGGACGTCTGTGTAAATTTATTGAGCCTGTTGATTTGTGGAGTGAACTATTGAAATTTGTAGCAAGGGTCTTTACTTAAATTTTTTGATTTTTAGTAATTCGGAGGTCTTTGTGTATGAATTAAGGATGCATTCGTTATTATCCTTAATATTTTGTTTTGGAAAATTTGAATATTTTTAAGTGTGTCGCTGAATAGTTACCCCAGATAAAGCAAGTGTAGGTAGTTAGTGAGTGTAATAATTAATTGTAAATTAATATTGAACTTTTTTTATATATAACTGAGTTTTTGTTTAAAATATAAAATAACATTGAGAGGCGCTGATATGCTTGTTGTAATTTAATAGCTATGTGAGGCCCCCAGGTTAGCCTCTTGTCTAGTGTGACACAGAGCTACTTGACAGAAGGTTGCCAAGGTATGGAATCATTATTGAATCTTAGAGGTAGTAGAGTGGAATAGCGACGTAAGCTAAATATGACTACTGTGCTTTTTGAAGCGTTTATGTGTATTTTCCAGCTTTTGCGCCATTTTTCTAGTACACCTATTTAAGTGATCTTGTAGATAGTTTGTTATCGCTTCAACGTTACAGGATTCATTGTAAATAGTTGTATCATCTACGAATAGGTCAATGTTTGTACGTAATGACTGCGGTATATTAGATATAAATTAATTGAACAAGATAGGTCCCAGTTTGGAACTTTGAGGTATACCAGCAGAGATAGACTGGAGGTCACAAAAATTGTCGTTTATTTTAACTCAAACTTGTCTATTTGTTAGAAAGGACTTAGTATGTGATGTTTGGTTTGTTGTAAGGTTTTAAATAAATACGGTTGATATAATCGGAAAAGAAAAAAAGAAAGTTTATTTGTTTTTAAATAGTCACTCGGAAAGCGATACACCAGAATATAAAAAAAGTGACGGATAAAAAAGAACACGGTATAAGAAAATGAATTTTACTAATTACTGTTGAATTATGTGACTCGAACGCGCGGTATAAGACAATACAATTCCAGAATTACTCCGACTATTGTATTATGAATGATCTTTATGTATAATATATTATATCAATCGAATACACTGCCGGAATAACTTTGACTATTGCATCATGGATTAAATATATACTGCACGTTGAGTCCGGGAGAGAAACTTTCGGATCACCCGAGTCTGTCTGGGTAGGTTTTGCTACGGCGCCGAAAAGGCAGTAAAGGATATCGGTTCGACTTGTACTTTGCCCTTTTATAACCATCGCGAGGCGACAACAGCGTACTCTCATGCGATGGATAGAGCAGTCGTGGCAACCGGTCGAACGATGTATAAAGCTGGATAAAAATAAGAATAAAAGATGGACAATTAATGACAATTTTAATGAGATTGATAAATAAATTTGGATATTTCAGATAACGGTAAATATGGAATATTAGATAATAATGAAATAATAAATATGTAGATATATATAAATATTTGTGGAAATAGACTTAATAATATTAAATAAGTACTTCGGTGTATTGAAAGATTTTAATTTGTATAAAAAATCTTCGTGCCATACTTTGTAAACGCTTTTGAGACATCAATAAATATAGCACCAGTTTGGTAATGTTTTTCACAGGAAGTACTGATATGTTTTGTTGTACAAAAAAGCTGTTGTATGGTCGAGTAGGTTGTATTTAAACCCAAATTGGAATTTTGGGATAACATCAGTGCTATTCAAATCATTTTTTAGTCCCATATGTATAACTTTTTCAAAAAATTGTTGATAGGGAGGTAAATAGACTTATCGGTCCAGAGCATATTTTAACATATAAAATACATGGCACTAGTGTCTCCCTGTGATCATTGAATGCTACCCAGTGGTGGGTGATCGTATCACCAACCAACACATTCTCATAACGACAATAGTAACAGGAATTAATTTTCTCTGTATGTTCCTCTGCAGAACACCACGTCCGTGAACTACGATGGTAAACAATTTTATTGAAATGTCATCTAGTGAAAATTATAAAATATACTCTGTATCGGTCTATAGTTATTAGGATTTGATTTGTCCTTACCAGGTTTTTTAATTAGTATAACTGTTGCTAATTTCCAGTTAGTAAGGGTCACTTTTTATTAAACATTATTTGTATTTATTTCATTTTCCTAGTTTTATCTATAGCTCGTGAAATTTTGAAATTTTTTAATTAATATGATCTGTTTTTTGGATTCTTGACATTCCTTGATGGGCCCTCTAGCCATGGACCCGTAGCTCATTGACCGTTATCTTACTCTTTGGTATGCCACTGGGTCCAGGGGACAATACAAGGTTGAGGGAACCCACCAATAAAAACAATTCTTTAAAATTATAAAAATACATAAAAAAACGAATTTAAACAAATTACACAAACCTGGTCATATGTGTCCCCCTAACCATGTCCATGGTAACAAACATGGTACGTGGGTAACAAACCGCAACGCCCGTTAGTTAAAACAAGAACAATATAAAAATAAACATATTCTTGTAAGCATAATCGTACGCAAACATAAATAACAGGTTAGTCATAACTAGGGCTCGGATTTCAATGCATTTGCATCTTTTTTTTTGGGATGTCTTACGCGATGCTTTCCAAGCTACAAATTTGTTTCAGGTGCTCTGTGTTCTACCCACAAACATTTTTTGGCACTTTTTTGCATTTTTTTTGCATTTTTTGACGTTTTTAATGCATTTTTTTTATATTTTAAGACATTTTGACCTATTTCTCGTATTACAATTAATTTCAGTTGAGAGGTCATTTTCTGTATATAAAAACTTATTGGCAAACAACCATTGATCATTCAAATTCCAAAACTTAAAAGAAATACTAATCATTAGGGCTCGGATTTAAATGCCCTAAAAATATCGAAAAAATGCCCTTTCAAAAAATGCATTTATGACCTAAAAACTTTAAAAAATGCACTAAAAATATCAAAAAATGAATAATTTATTAAATAAATTCAAATTAATATTAAAAAATGAGTAAAAAATGAAATTCTATTTTCATTACACTACAAAAAATAAAAAAAA